TACATGTTTATTCAGAGAAAGTACGTTTTTGTGTCTGATTTCGTAACTTAATTAATAGTTAGCACTAATTAATTAGCATATTTGAGGTCACCCCCGGAAACCATTAAGATTGACACTTAGATCGTGAAAATCCGATCATTAGAACAAAAGTTATTCAGGGTGATATCTTTTTTTTTTTGCTGACTGTACATAGAGGACGTAGGAAGCGTATACATAGAGGAGAGGAAAATACGTAGAGTAGCCAAACTGAAATGTTGATCTTTTGGAAAATAGTAAATAAAAGTTTGGGAAATGGCTAAATGAAAGAAAAATATTAATGATTTGTTATATTCAGTCAAAAATATCAACAAAAAATAATAACACGCATTTTATTTAGGACAGTTTTCCTGAAGATTTAAAGACAACTTCTTTGAAAAATGAAAAGAATCATACAGAGAACAAACATAGAGAGATAAAAAACATGGCGAACAAGAAAGAAGCAGTTGTATCGGTAGTGTGTGAATATAAAAAGACCACATGAACTCTCTGTAGCAGTCAACAAGAGAACGTTTTGTCAAAGCTAACCAGATAAAAAGATTGTCACCATTCATGACCTATCTCAGATTACAGAAATTGCTGACAGGACTTGAAATTATGCGTTACTGTGGAAGTGTTTCGGTTGAAAGTCATGAACAGTGGTATGGATAAACTAAGCCACCATTTTATTTAGTACAGTGTTACCAATGACACAATATTACTCTGCAGAAAATACACCTAGAATTTTAATAAACATAATTTATGAATAAGGTTTCATCAAAAATATAATGCATGTCCAACCTTTATTTAAAATGAAAATCTTCTTATTTTTTATTTGTATCTATATGAATAATTTTTATTTATTTTTTGCATATCTCTATTTATTATTTATCTTTTAAAGAAATTAATTGACTTCTCACTATAAGTAGCACCTATGGTTTTCAGGTTGTTTTTTATACATTCTTGCAATTCCCTAGTCTGTATTTATCAGGATGCAACAAAACTCTGAACGAAGTTTTCCTTTTCATGACGGCAATCAGTGTAGGGTTTTCATTCGCCGGATGTTTGATAGTAGCTGCTGATTTATCCCCAACGTTTTGTGGTTAGTAATTATTTTAACTTCATTGTAAAATTAGTATCATAAACGAAGAATTACAAAACCTTTCGTGTTTGATAGTAGCTGATGATATATCACCAACACTTTTTAATTAGTAGACATTTTAGCTACATTGTAAAATTAATATTTAATAAGAAGCATTTTGTAATTTTTCGTGATTGATAGTAGCTGTTGATATATCCACTAATGTTTTGTGGCTAATACTTTTTGAAGTACATTGTAAAACTAGCAACACATATTTATTTAGAAGAAAAGTAAAAATTGCAATACTATTTTTGACACCAATGTTGCATAATTGATTTCAGTAATAGCTTCTAATTAAAAATAATAAAATTTATATACAAAAAACTAATTTAATGGAGCAATGGTTCAAATACGTTAAGAAAAAACATAAAAAAATCTCCATGCTATTTTTGATGTCAATGGTGTGATTTAAATGCTTACCTAATACACTAATACAGGTACAGAATCTTATATTACTTTATTTGGTACCAATTAATACTTCATCAATACTGTACAGCTGTAAATAAATGCTGGAGAAATAAGTTTTATATGATTCCTCTAAAAGAATAAATACCTGAGGAAACTAAGTTTCTAAACAATTATTAATAACTAGGAGGCTTCGCCCCCTGCTCGTTGGCGCTCGCCAACCCCCGGAACTGCTTTCGCAGTTCATTTCGGATTGCTTCGCAATCCGATGCTCGCTCATTGGATACGTTCTTAACGTCTAGCTTTTGTATACTTTTTTGAACACTGAAGTTCCGAAAACTTTTCACTGTAGAAAATTCTAAACCTGTGCATTTCAATATTAATTTGAAATTGCAAACAGTTCACATATTTTTCTTAATCACACTATTCTAAATTTCAGTTGTTGAGAAAAGTAACTGTTGTAAGTTTTGTTTTAAAGTCTTTCCCACCAGAGGACTAAAACCATGTGTTGTAAAACAATATGAAATAGTACTGAAC